GCATGGGCTCTGGGAAACTTCTCGCCGCTCTCGGCTCTCATGCGGCTCTCCACGGGCCCCGGGGGGCCGTCACGCAACGGCCGCGGCGGGAGCCCCGGGGGCCCGGGGCCCGTTTTCCCGAGGACCCCCCCTCGGGGGTCCGATGTTCGGCGGCGAGCGAGCGAGCGAGCGAGCGAGGAGGAGCAGAAGGATGAGGAGGAGGAGGAGGCGGAGGAGGAGAAGAACCTCTCCGAAGGTTTGGAAGCCCCCCGGCCTTCTGAGAGGTTTTCTGAGCTCTCCCCGAAGACCAAACAAAAACCTCTCAGAAGGCGCGAAAAGGCCCTCTCCTGCTCACTTCCCCCCCTCGCTCGCCTCCGATCTTGACCCGGAACAAAGCGAGATTGCCCTGCGGAATAAAGCTGCAACGCCCAGATCTATCAGCGCCCGTCACGGCCACGACTCTGCGTGCAGGGGCGCGCGGCGCCGGAGGGCGCTCAGCGGGGCATGCCGAGGATAGGGGAACGAGCACTGGCGTAGACATAAAAACTCGGAGGTCCGCGCGGCTTTCTCGGATCGGCACTGGACCCCCTGGCGCGCGGAGCGCGCGGAGCGGAGGGGGGTCCAGCGCCGATCCGAGAACTCCGCGCGGACCTCCGAGCTTTTGTGCCTGTGTCGTTGCTCGATCCCCTAGTAGGAGCTCGCCCCCCGGCGCAGGCCGCTGGTGCGCGGGCTGGCGCGCGGGGCAAAGGCCCGCGACGCCGCCCGGGGCCCGCGGCCGCCGCCGAGCCGCCCCCCCGCGCCCCGAGCCGGCATGGCTGCGCGGCGCGCGGGTCGCGGTGCTGGCCCTCGGGGCCGCAGGAGGTGCGGTAGGGCCCGGGCCGACGGCCCTCCGAGCGCGTGTGCTGGCGCTGGCGTGTGCCTCTGTCCACCGGGGTTCCTCGGCACGCCGTCGGGGGCGGTGGGAGGAGGGCCGGCACGAGGCCCTCGGTGGAGCTGCGCGGGTTCGGCGCGTCTGGATGTGAGCGTTCCCTTATGCTGCGTCTCGACACTGGGCGGAAGGGGGGGGGATTGGGGGGGGGGTCTTGCTCCAAACCGTTTGTGACAGTGCGTCCTAGAGGGGGGACCCCACATGCTCGAAACAGGCGCCCAAAAACGGCCGAGATCTACTCCATGGGGTGGGGGAGGGGTGCGAGGGCCCGCGCCGATCGGCAATACAGTGAGCAAGAAAGCGATCACCCCGTCGGGGCGCGGGCGCACGCGCGCGCAGTGGTGCGCAGCGGAGCGCCGTCCGAGTCTTGACTTGACTGCGCCGACGCCCCCTCGGGGATCGAGGTGGAGGGCCGAGGGTCGAGACGGAAGGGCCGACGTTCGAGGGCTTGGGCAATCCCACCAGCCCTCTGGGCGTAGGTGGTTTAGGGAGTTTCCTCTTCCAACCTCCTTCTTCCTCTTCGGGGAGGGGTTTACCCCTCCCCCTACCCCCCTCCCCTGGACCTGGACGGGGCGTTCCGCGAGCGGTCGGAGCGTCCAAGATGGCCCAAGATGGCCTCCAAGATGGCTCAAGATAGCCTAAGACTGAAGGCCCGACGTTCGAGGGCTTGGGCAATTTCTTATGCTTCGTGTTTTTGTTGTTCAAGCTCTCCTGTGGGTCCTCGTTTTGACAAGACAGTGCCCCGCGTTCCTTCCCTCCTTCCTTCCTTGATTCCTCCCCTTCCTCCTCCGATCCCTGCCGTTGCCCTCCGAACCAGTCAACCATTTTGGCACACCCCTCACACGTTTCGCGGCCCTTCGGTGGGGCTCTTAATGGGGCCACGAAACGTGTGAGGGGTGCGCCAAAATGGGTGCGGGACCGCATGCGAACGCTGGCCTACGGCATTCGGTGGGGCTCCCCATGGGGCGTTCGCATGCGGCCACCGCGCGCATTTTGGCATAACCCTCACACGTTTCGTGGCCCCACAGGGAATCCCCCGGAAGGCCCAAACGTCAGCGTTCGCATGCGGTCACCGCACGCATTTTGCAACCTTTGCACGTTTCGTGACCCCATAGGGAGCCCCACTGAAGGCCCAAATACCAGCGTTCGCATACGGCCACCGCGCGCATTTTGGCACAACCCTCGCACGTTTCGTGGCCTCACAGGGGGCCCTACCGAAGACCCAAATTCCAGCGTTCGCATGCGCCCACCGCACCCGTTTTGGCACACCCCTCCCACGCTTCGTGACCCCACAGGAAGCCCGACCGAAGGCCCAAATGCCAGCGTTTGCATGCGGTCACCGCCCCCGTTTTGGCACACCCCTCGCACGTTTTATGGCCCCATGGGGAGCCCCACGGAAAGCCCACATGCTAGCGTTCGCATGCGGCCACCGCGCCTACTTTGGCACACCCCTTCACACGTTTGGTAGCTCCATCGGGAGCTCCACCGCATGCGGTGCATACAACGATGGTGCCCACAACTGCTGATGGTTAGGTTTTTCGCTGGGCAATTTTCCGTTTTTTCCCCAACCATCCTGTGGGTGTTGGGTCCTCCTTTTGAAAAGACAACGCCCCGCGTCTCCCACCTCTCGCCCTCCTCTCCCTTCTCCCTTTTCCCATCCCTGCCTCTGCTCTTCGCGTGTCATCATCGTCAGCAGCATCGCACCGATTTCGGCACACCCCTCACTCGTATGGTGGCCCCATCGGGAGCTCCACCTGAGGCCCAAGTGGCACAGTTCGCTCGTGGGCGTCACCCCCGTTTCGGCACACCCCCTCACACGTCTCGTGGCCCCATAAGGAAACTCCACCTGCGGCCCCAGTGGCACCATTCGCACGTGAGCGCCACCCCCGTTTCGGCACGCCCTTTCACACGCTTCGCGGCCCCATAGAGAGCTCCACCTGCGGCCCGCTCAAACATAGCCGAACGTAGTCGAAGAATCGCCCCCAGACGATTTTCCACCAGTTTTGAACACCCCTCCTGTAAAACAGGGCTAGGATCGGGATAAATCGCTCCAGAGCGCTCTCAGAGCGTTCCGGAACGCTCTGGAGCGGCCGCGGCGCCCATTCTCAGAGATTTCGAGCTATCCCGATCCGATTCTCGGAGATTTCGAGTTATCCCGATCCGATTTTGTCCCGATCTTCGCGTCGTTTTTGAAGGGGAACTGGGACACACATAACTAGATACACACAGACAAAACTACCCCCCTCATATTTTCCCATATGTTCTGGGCTTTTGTCCTCCCCCCCCCCACTTCCCATATTTTCCAATCTTTTCTTGGAATCGCCGATGAATTGTGTCGCGATTGTGTCGCGATGAGCGGCGCCACCATCTCCTGGGGAGGAGGAGGAGGAGGAGGAGGAGGAGGAGGAGGAGGAGGAGGAGGAGGAGGAGGAATCGCCGATTTTCTGTGTTTTTTCCCCTCCTGAGTTTTACCCTGCAGAGGGCGACGCGCCCGGCTCTGAGCCCACGCGGCGGTGCCCGGCGTGGGCCGACCCCGAGGGGTCGGCCGGCGGAGGGCCCCTTCCGAGCAGCGGGAGCAGGAGGGCCTCCTCCTCCCTCCTCCCTCCTCCCTCCTCCCTCCTCCTCCTCCTCCTCCTCCCCTCCCTCCTCCCCCTCCTCCTCCTCCTCCTCCCTCCTCCTCCTCTCCTCCCTCCCTCCTCCTCCTCCTCTCTCCTCCTCCTCCTCCTCCTCCTCCTCCCTCCTCCTCCTCCCTCCTCCCCTCCCTCCTCCCTCCTCCCTCCTCCCTCCTCCCTCCTCCCCTGCCTGGCGGCGGCGGGCTCCTCCGGGCGGTGCCCCGAGCGGGCACCACGGCTGCGTACAGTCGGGGCGCTGACCTAAGGAACCCTAAATAAGGAACGAGGCTCCTTTTCTCCAGAAATTGAACTTCGATTTCCCTTCGGAAACCAAAGGAAAACCCAAGGCAAACTGTGAAGCAATCAAGGAACATGGAGCCCCTCCCCAACGATTCAGGGCACCGACTGTACAGGAAGGGCCCGGCCACGACGACGACGACGACGACGACGACGACGACGGCGGCGGCGGCGACGGCGACGACGACGATGGCGGCGGTAGCGGCGCCGACGACGATGGCGGCGGTAGCGACGGCAACGCTGGACGAGGACGACGCGTGCGGCATCGGCGATGACGAGGACGACGTCGAGGACGGGAAGAAGGACAACAGATACAGTGGGGGCCCGACCACAAGAAACCTTCCACAAGAAACCCAACCCTGAGACTCTTGGACAACCGTCGATTTGTTGGCGTGGGAACGTCACGCTTCCCATCGCAGAACCATCGAAATCCAAGAAACCCAGGGCACCATGGAGGCGAGCAGGTCGTTTCTTGGCATGGACCTACACTGTACCTAACAAATCCCGGAGCCCATACGACATCAGAGAGGCAACATGCACGCGCAAGACAAAAGCCTTCTGCGGGCGGGACCCCGTGGAGATCCCATGGGAACGCATCAAACAAATGTCCAGCATACCTAAGCAACATGGCGGGACTTTGATGGAGGCCCTGCTCGTGTGGATTCGCACCATGCGGAAACATGGAATACCTATGCAATTCCTCAAGGAACAAGGTGTCGTAAGAACTCCTGTCTGGAGCAGGGTGGTTGAACCCATCTTCTCGGCGCCCATCTAGCGGCTGTGCATTCGTGACAAGACGCATGCCGAGATCGCAACGCAAGTGCTTGGTTTGTGGGAGTGCCAATTCGGTTGTTGTTCTCGCGCCATCCGCTTCGGCACGGGGGAGCTCCGTCGTCTCCAGCGCGCTCGCAAGCCGAGAAGCCAGATGCCTGGACCCTACGCGCCGCACGGGAACCGCGGCGCCAGACCTCTCCTCAGAGCACCCGGTGTTGTATGTAAACACCAGTGGGCCACACGAGCAGGCCGATCCTGTAAACGAGAATCAAGTCGGGCATGTTCCCATACAGGCGGATTTTGGACGACAAATGAAACATAGTCCAACATACTCCAAGACATGATAGAAACATCGTCCCCTGCCTTAGACCTATATATATATATATATGGTTGTCGTACCATGTTTGGATATTCTTCCTCTAGAGGGACATGCCCGACCTAACACGCTAGAGTAATCACCCTCCAGGCGAAAACCGCACGCCGAAAGAGCACTCGCCCCTCGAGGGATGCCGCCCAAGTCTCGGGTCGGGCGAGAAAGGGGGGGGGGGCAGTAGAGGGGGCTCTCCTCCCTCCTCCCTCCTCCCTCCTCCCTCCTCCCTCATCCCTCCTCCCTCCTGCATCCTCCCTCCTCTTCCTCCTCCTCCTCCTCCTCGATCCTCCCTCCTCCCTCCTCCCTCCTCCCTCCTCTCTCTCTCCTCCTCCTCTCTCTCCTCCTCCTCCTCCTCCTCCTCCTCCTCCTCCTCCTCCTCCTCCTCCTCCTCCTCCTCCTCCTCATCCTCCTCCTCCTCCTCCTCCCCTTCTCCCCTCGCCGCAGGCGCCCGTGCATTGAGTACAACAGCGCCCAGCGGCGGCCCAGGGCCGAAACCAGCTGCACGTCGCAGATCTCGTAGTCTCCCAGCACTCCCACACCAGACCTGTACCAGTCACGTCCGGCGGGCCCCAGCGAAGGGCCGCCCCTTCTTGCACCTCCTCCCCTTCCCAGAGATCCAGCGTCTCGATGTTCCGAGACGCGGCCCCCCCGGGGTCGCTTTTTCGTCTCGAGTGGCTGTTTGACGGCCCCGAGGGGCCAGGTGAGGGCCCCGAGAGGCCGAAAACGAGGAAGAACCTCCGTCTCGATTCTTTCGAGACGCTGGGCGTCTGGGCTTCGCCCGCCCCGAAAGGTCCCGCCACACAGGTCGCCGACTCCAAAGGGTGTGGTCTGCAAAAGGTGTGGTTTGCAACCAGCACCCTGGGGAACACCCTGGGGGCACGCTGGGGTGCGCGCGGGGACCTCGATAGAGTCCCCCCGGGCCCGGCGAGGCCAGCGTCGTGCCCCCGAGGCCCCAATGGTGCCCATCGCAAGCCACACCCCGGCGTAACCATACCCTCTGTGGTCGCCGAACACGGCGAGGCGTCGCGCCGCTGCGCGGGAGGGAGATCCCTCCGGCGAAGCCCGCCGAAACTCGCGGGCGGTGGCATTGGCTCGGCCTGCCTGCCACGCGGGAGCGCTCCTGCGAAAAGTTATAACACCCACCAGACAGCACACAGAGGGGGAGGGGATGAGGAGGAGGAGGGAGAGGAGGGTGCAGGGGAAATGCGGGACTCGTTGGAGGCCTTCTCTCTTTTACTCTCTCTTTCTCTCCCTTTCTCTCTTTCTCGCTGTCTCTCTTTGTCTCTCTCTGTCTCTCTCTCCGGATGGGCCCATCACTACTAAGATCATATGAAGGATGGGCCCACCTCTAACAGAGTCCTTCTAGCGGTAAGGCCATCCGTACTAAAAACATACACACGGATGAATACTTTTGAGAGAGTTCAATGAGAGGTGGATCCGCCTCTTCCGATATCCTGTTAAAGATGAAACCACCTGTAATATATTTGTCCTAGAGGTTGATCCACCTTTAATAGAATCCAGATAAAATTGGAGCCACCTCCAATAGAACCCCATTCGAGATGGAATGCCCTCTAATAAGGCCCTGTGAAATTTGGATCCCGCCCCAATGGGATCGTATTAAGATGGGCCTCCCTCTAATAAAATCAGAGCAGGAACTCATCCACCTCGAAAAGTATTCCATCACATGTGGATTGGATACACCTCTAATGCAACCCCCTTCAGAGGTGGATCCACCTCTAACATAAACCTATCAGGGACGGGGCCACCTGATGGATGGATCCGCCTCTGATCGAATCCTATTTGGGGTGGGCCAGCCTCGAATCGTATCCGTTTAAGGATGGAGCCATCTCTAAAATAATCCCACTGGTGATGTTGCACCTTCTAATCTAACCCTGTTTATGACTTGAGCAACCTCTGACAGCGACCTGATAGGGGTGGGCCCACCTTTTTATATAATCGTATCAGGTATGACGCCACCTCGAATGAAGCCCGATCAGGTCTGGGACCACTTGTAATACAATCCTACTAAGCACGGCATCGTCTCTAACAGAAACCTAACGGTTGGAGCCACTTGCAACAGAATCGTATCAGGGATGCAGCCAATTCTCATGCAATCCGATCCAGAGAAATCCAATGTCTAAGGCAATCCTATTAGAGGCGGGTCCACCTCTGACATAATCTTGTGATTAAGCAAGTCTGAAGGAAAGTACACTCAAGGAGGGACTCACATTTATCATAATCCCATTAGCGGAGGGTCCACCCCTGAAGGGATTCTGTTAAGGGATGGATGCTGCTCGAGGACGCAAAGAGGGAGGACCTCGAGCTCGGCGTCGAGAACGGTTTTGGATTTCCATCACCAATCGAGAACGGTCCTTTGAATTCAGAAATTCAGCAACCAGTCGAGAACGGTTTTTGAATTCAAGAGCCTGAAGTCAAAAGCCAAGTCGAGCTACGGAGGTTACGTCGAGCGTATCGAGGCCGCGCTGGGCGAGCTCCCCGCAGGCCTCCAGGCGCTCCACGAGGCGTGCCTCCACTCGGAGAATCGCTCTGCGGCGGTGCCGCCGAGGAGGCGTTCGCGACCGTCGACAACCTTCCCCGGAACGTCCACAAGTAACCGAGGGGCCCCGAGGGAAGCTGGCGCTCCCGAAGGACAAGCGCGCCATCAAGGCCGTCAGCAACGCCGAGCTGCAGCTCTCCGAGGCCGCCTACCCCTTGAAGCGCGCCGAGTGCAATCGGGGTGCCGGGAAGGCGCGCCGGGAACAGGACGTGAGTTTCCTCGAGCTCCACATCGAGAACCACTTCCCCAAGTACAGCGCCGCCTTGGTCGAGCACGCCGCCCTGCTCGAGCGCAGTGCGGCCGAGACCAAAGCGGCCGAGGAGAAGGCCGAGGAGAAGGGGTCCTCGTCGAGCTGAGAGCGTCGTCGAGGCACGCGCTTTTGCCGAGCGACTCGAACCTAACCATACCGGTCATCCGCTTTCCCGGAGGTCTTCTCACCCGAGCGCCTCGAGCCACGAGCGGCTCGAGACAACCGACGTTTTACGAGTTGCCGAGCGTCTCGAGCCATCCGATTTGTGGCCGACCCGAGCGTCAGGATGTGGCCGACCCGAGCGTCAGGAACACTACGAGCGCCTCGAGCACACGAGCGCTCAAGCTACCCGCCTTCGCCGAGAAAAGAACATCGAGTGCGCCATCGTCGAGCCTCGATCTTCGATCCACGGATCGAGGATCTTCGATCTTGGATCCAAGGATCTTCGAGCGTCTTGGATCCTAGATCCGAGGATCTTCGACCTTGGATCCGAGCATATGGGTCTTGATCCGAGGACCAAATATTCGAGCCTCGACGATCGTCGATCGACCATCCGTAATCGTTGGGCTCATTGATTCGAGCCTCGAGCCAAGACAGAGTCAGCAGCCAGGTCACGATGGGCAAACCCACGGTCGTACCGAGGCGGGGGCAACCCGATCTGAACAGCGTCCTACGTCCAAGCCACAGGTCGACGTCGAGATCGAGACAGAGAACGCTCAAGGACAAGCAGCTCCAGGGCAAGGAGCTCCAGGACACGCAGCTCCAGGAACGGAGGCCCGAGGAAGGAGCAGCCCAACTACAGCCAGCTCCAGGGCAAGCAGCTCCAAGGCAGGAAACTCGAGGACGGCCAGCTCCAGGACGAGAAGCTCTTGGACAAGCAGCTCCAGGACACGAAGCTCGAAGAGCGGCCCGAGGGCAGCCAGCTCCAGGGCAAGCAGCTCCAGGGTTGAGAAGCTCGAGGAAAGCCGGCTCCAGGACGAGAAGCTCTTGGACGAGCAGCTCCAGGGCACGCAACTTGGAGGTCCTCGAGTCCCGGCCCCCAGATCATCGGGTCCCGGCTCGCTCACGCCGAGGCCCCGCTCGCGCCGCCCGGTCCGGACTCTCTCGTGACCGCTCCTGGCGTTCGACGCCGGGAACACTGCGAGGGCATCGCTCCAGCGGCTCACGAGCGGCCTGGACGGAGCTCGACCGAGCGCTCGAGACGGAGGCCGCGCCGTCGAGTAACAGAAACGAGAAACAAACACCAACGCAGAACCGCAGCAGCAGCAGCAGCAACAGCACCAGCACAGCAACCGACACCAACACCAGCTAACACAACAACAGCAATAACAACAATCGTTTTGAGACTGCTCGCTCCTGTCTGTTCGCGTGCCAATCAATACGTATATCCCAAACCCTCGGTACTGGCCCTCGTCGTCTTCGATCGTACCCCTTCTGGGGTATATCTTCCTTGCCTGCCACGTGCATTTAGTGCAGCCCCTAAAACAAGGGAAGAGAGGACGGGTGGAAGGGGGAGGGAGAAAAATGGAGCGAGAGAAATTAGCAGGAGAGGGGCAAGGAGCAGAAAACAAATGGTAGAACCAGACGGGCAGATCCGGTGGGCAGACCCATAGCGGGCAGGTCGGGAAGGCGGGCCCAGGCGACGAGGTCGAAGAGGCGGGTTGCTGAAGCGTGGGTCCTGCATGAATCGCGAGGATCTCTCGAGCGATAGCGCGGTTCTCAAGCAAGCAGATCATGAGAAAAGCCACAGCGAGAGCGTGATTCCTGAGCGCCGAGGGCGCATCGTCTGAATACATTGCGAGGACGTATCAGATGCGACAGCGCGATGCGTACATGATTTGTGAGGAAGTCCAACAAAGCAGCGCGATTTGGGAAACCATTGTGAGGACGTATCAGGCGGGAGCCGTTGTTGTTGTAACTCAGGGGCCAGGGGCCCAGCTTGAGCCTAGTGGCTTCCCCTGACAAAAACAAGGTGCGAACCCTGGGGGAAGTACTTCAGTTGAAAAACCACAATGGTCACCGGAGGTGGGGATCAACAGTACTTATTTGTCAGTAAGGAGAGTTCAACAACACCAACAGCAATCATTCTAAAGCTTTTCTCTCCTATCTGCGCGCGTGCCACTCAAGACGTATATCCCGAACCCTCGGTATCCGCCCTCTTCGTCTTCGATGGTACCCCCTCTGGGGCAGATCTTCCTCACCTGCCACGTGCATGTAGTGCAGCCCCAAAGGCAGGGGAAGAGAGGACGGATGGGAGGGAGAGGGAGAAGGATGGAGCACGAGAGAAGTTAGCAGGAGGGTGGCTAAGACCAGAAAACACGTGGTGGAAACAAACTGCTCAACTGGACAAGCGAGGGAGGCGGAGAGGTGGGGCGACAAGGAGGCAGGCCCATACAAGCCGCCAGGGATCGCTGTCGCTCGCTCTGGAAGATACCATCAACAATCTAAGACAGCCACTTCTGTCTCGCCTCGCTGTCCCTGAGCCGAACTTTAGTCTTGTCGCTGCTCAGCTCTACGAGTACCGAGCTCACCACGGCGTGCGCTAGGTCGGACACGGAGGCCATGTACTTCTTCTTTACAAGGTTGAAGTTCGCAATGAACTCCAACTTGCAGTAGCCATCCTGGTCCATGTTTTGACGCAGGAAGACATCCTTGCACAAATTGTCCACCGAAAAGTAGAAGTCCACCTGCTTCATGAGGCTCTTCTTCTTGTCCTCGGCAGAGAGCTTTGAAGGATCGCCGCCGGCACCCGCGGCGTTGACCTCGTCTTTGCCACGGCCCTTGTTGTTGCCGCGCGGCTGACAAAGGTACGATGGCACCCCCATCGGTGATGTCGGAAGCATGCCATACGGAAAGCCGGGCACAAACCCAAACGGCGACGGTGGCCAACCAAAGGCCCCGATCGGAGAGTGCAGGTCCATACCACGAGAAGGTGAAGCCTTGCCTCCGCTCGGCTACACGCACGGACGTGCCCAGGCAGCAGTGGCCTTTGATGCGCGGCTTCAGTGGAGGGGGGGGGGCCAAGCCCAGGCGCACAAGCTAAGGCTATCGCACCCTACTCGGCGATTGTAGAAGCAGCAAACAAGCCATAAACATAAACTTTTGGCGCTCCGCGCGGTCATCTCGGATCCGCGCTGGACCCCCCCCCCCCTCCCTGGCGCGCGGAGCGCGCCAGGGTCGGCGCCACAGGCGCCCGCTGGGGGGGCCCGGCGCGGATCCAAGAAATCCGTGCGGAGCGCCAGAAGTCCATGTTCATGCCGCTTCTTCTCCTGCGAGACTGGGGCGCCCCAGTGGGCCTGCACCAAAGGTCACCCTGGCAAAAGGCCACTCCTACGTTGGAGGCGGTCCAGGGGTCTGAACTGGCTGGGGCCCGGGAACTTCGGCCAGAAGGGGGGGGGAATGAAGCCAAGTCCGCTCAGAATCAATCCCCGGACCCTTCCGGGGTCACACTTTTCTTTGGTTGTCGCTCCAAATCCGCTGCTCACGGCCCCGGGGCCCGCATGCGGTCCCCCGAGGCCGCTCAGGCCCCCTCTCCGCCGAACCCAGCGCCTCGAACCTGTCCGCCCTTCCTGCTGGCTGGCACCCGTGCTGGGCTGGCTCAGACCCCCCGACTGGAGCAGGGACCGACCATCCCGGCATCCCTATAGGCCTACCACGAAATCTTCTCAGAACCCCCAGTAAAGTTTTGAGACGAAGCAGTGTTCTTAGCACAGAGCCCCGATGCGTTAAGACAAGACAGCCCCAGCCAGAGCTGTGCTGAGAGCATCTCGTGCGAACCACGACAGGCTCTTCGAACAGTCTTTCGTGGGCCTATAGGCGAGCCAGGACGCTCCGCCACTGCTTGACCGACGCCTCCAACCCCCTAGGGGTGCGTGCGGCCGGTCTGCCTCTGCCCGCGCCCTTCTCCTTGCCCTTGCCGCCGGGCCCTCTCCTGCCCTTCGCCTGCGGGGGCTCCCCCTCGGGCCGCACGGCGGCCTCGGGCGCGACCGCGGGCTCGACGGCGGGCGCCCCTGGCTTTACCAGCCTGGAACATCTCCCTGTCCCTGTGCTGGGCATCTCCCCATCACGATGCCAATCTTAGGGATTCCTTTATTTTTTGAGGGCGCATCCCTAAGATTGGCATCGCCTTTTGGCGTGTCACTCTTAGGGATAGGGATACGTTCGAGGCTGGTAGTGGCCGGCCTTCCGCCCGCGCCGGCCCGGGCGGGGCGTCCGCGGCCGTGGCCGCCGCCTGGGGCGTCCCGGCGGCCGTCGGGGTCCTGGCGGCCTTGGGGGTCCTCGAGCCGCGCGCGCCGGGGGAGACGAGCAGCGGGAAGGTCAGGTGCTCCCCGTCCGGCGAGAAGAGGAGCGGCTGCCACTGCGTGCGGTCCACGCCCCGCTGTGCTGGCGGGGGCGAGGTCTGCAGGCGGCAGATGATGCTCTCGACGATGTCGAGGTTGGCGGGCCTCACCGAGCACAGCTTCTTCTCGTCGCCCTCGTGTGGAGCGAACGTTGGGAAACATTCCGCCACGCTCTTCTCTTGGAAGGCCTTGCGGAAATCATCTATGTACTCTTTCAGCCTGAAGTTGATAAAGAAGATGCCCTTGTTGCCCGAGAACTCTGGGCCAGGGGGCAGGAAGATGAAGTCGAAAGCCCTGGCGTACTTCTCAGTGAGCAGCGACACGAGTTCTGCGCGCTCCATGGCCAGAGGCACGCCTCCCACGAACAACATTGTCTCGCCAGATGCAGACGGCATGATGCTGGATAGCGGCGTGGAAGGCACCGCTTGTGGCTTCGCCACCGCCTGCGGCATCACCGGTGCGAACGGCGGAGGCATCATGAAGCCTTCCATTCCGCCTCCGAGCGGCGTCATGCCGCCGCCCCTGCGCGCGGACGTCCTGTCGCCGCTGGCTTTCCTGGACACCGATGGCGTCGCTGCCATCATCGGCCCAAACGGCCCAGGCATCATGAAGCCATCCATCGCGCCCACGAGGGGCGGGCTGCCACCTTCCCTGGGCGTCTTCCGCTCCGGCTTCGGCGTCCCGTCGCCCTTCTTCCTGCCCTCGGGAGCAATGGTCGGGAACGCTGAGGACTCCCCGCTTGGTCCAAAGAGGAGGGGCTGCCACACCGAGCGGTCTACAGCAGCCTCCTCGGGCGGTGGCGGTGCCTGCGCGCGAAGGATGTTGGCCTGCACAATGCCAATCTTGGCCGCGTCCACCAACAACTTCGGCCAACCACCTTCAATCGGAACAAACTGTTTGACATCGGCGACGTTCTTCTCGTGAAAAGCCTTGACGAAATCGGCGGACTTCTCCTTGTCCCTAAAGTTGATGAAGCATACCCCTTTGTTTTCTCTGAAATCCACATCAGGGACCAGGAAAACAAAGTCGAATAGTTTCGGGACGTGCTCGTTGAGGAACGCCAGGAAATCCGCCACCGTGACTGGGGCACGCTGGGACGTAGCAGGAGCTGAATTCGGCTTTCTGGCAGGAGCTCTGCTCTTTGAAAGACTCCCCTCCCTCTCTCCCTCCCTCCCTCCATATTCCCGTGAGCGCCACTCAGGAATTCAACACTTCCGAAGCTGCCCCTGGAGAGCTCCAAGACAGCCTCGACACCCGAGGGCCCCAACACCAGCCTCACAAGAGGCATTGACCTTCCAGAAAGCACAAGTCGCCCCGTAGGGGCTCCCAACGGCCCCACGAACCCTCCAGATCACCATCCAGCAAAGCCCGGCGAGGCCCAATACCCAGACAACGCGCATGTGGCCTGCTTCCTTGTATGTCGCTTCCAGGCGAGGGGCCTGACGCAGCTTCTAAATTATCCCGGCAAAGCAACCTAACAGCGATGTGTAGAAGCATACCTGGAAGCATTCCCCTTAAGATTCAGGTGAGAATCCAGCTGTAGAGTTCTGCTGTTCTTGCAATCGTAGTCGCATTCGCGATGACAGTCGCAGCGGCAACGGCAGTCGCAGTCACAGCCTCAGCCTCAGCCTGCCTCAGCCTCAGCCTCAGCCTGCCTCAGCCTCAGCCTGCCTCAGCCTCAGCCTCAGCCTGCTTCAGCCTCAGCCTCAGTCTGCCTTCAGCCTCGGCCTCAGCCTCAGCCTGCCTCAGCCTCAGCCTGCATCAGCCTCAGCCTCAGCCTCAGCCTGCCTCAGCATCAGCCTGCCTCAGCCTCAGCCTCAGCCTGCCTCAGCCTCAGCCTCAGCCTGCTTCAGCCTCAGCCTCAGTCTGCCTTCAGCCTCGGCCTCAGCCTCAGCCTGCCTCAGCCTCAGCCTGCCTCGGCCGCAGCATCAGCCTGCCTCAGCATTCAAAATGTGGCCCGGGAATGGAGTTCTGGGAACTCGAAGAACACGAAGTGGCCTACAGTTGGCTCCGGGCATTCAAAATCATGCCCAGGAATGGAGTTCTGGGAACTTGAAGAGCACGAAGTGGCCTACAGTTGGCTCCGGGCATCCAAAATGTGGCCCGGGAATGGAGTTCTGGGAAATCGAAGAGCACGAAGTGGCCTACAGTTGGCTCCGGGCATCCAAAATGTGGCCCGGGAATGGAGTTCTGGGAACTCGAAGAGCACGAAGTGGCCTACAGTTGGCTCCGGGCATTCAAAATGTGGCCCGGGAATGGAGTTCTGGGAACTCGAAGAGCACGAAGTGTGTGACTGTTGCATCCGGTTATTCAGAATGTGGCCTGGGAATGGGGTTCTGAGAGGTCGACGAGCACGAAGTGTGTGACTGTTGGTGAAAAACGAGCCCGGCACAGGCCCGGCCGGCAACTCCCAACGCCTGCCCGGACCCCCCTGTGGAGTGATCTGTGAGCTCTTTTGAATCAATTATCCCGGCAAAGCAACCTAACAGCGATGTGTAGGAGCATATCTGGAAGCATTCCCCTTAAGATTCAGATGAGAATCCAGTTGTAGAATTGTGCTGTTCTCGCAGTCGTAGTCGCATTCGCGATGACAGTCGCAGTGGCAACGGCAGTCACAGACACAGCCTCAGCCTCAGCCTGCCTCAGCCTCAGCCTCAGCCTGCCTCAGCCTCAGCCTGCCTCAGCCTCAGCCTCAGCCTGCTTCAGCCTCAGCCTCAGTCTGCCTTCAGCCTCGGCCTCAGCCTCAGCCTGCCTCAGCCTCAGCCTGCATCAGCCTCAGCCTCAGCCTCAGCCTGCCTCAGCATCAGCCTGCCTCAGCCTCAGCCTCAGCCTGCCTCAGCATTCAAAATGTGGCCCGGGAATGTAATTCTGGGAACTCGAAGAACACGAAGTGGCCTACAGTTGGCTCCGGGCATTCAAATCATGCCCAGGAATGGAGTTCTGGGAACTCGAAGACCACGAAGTGGCCTACAGTTGGCTCCGGGCATCCAAAATCTGGCCCGGGAATGGAGTTCTGGGAACTCGAAGACCACGAAGTGGCCTACAGTTGGCTCCGGGCATCCAAAATGTGGCCCGGGAATGGAGTTCTGGGAACTCGAAGAGCACGAAGTGGCCTACAGTTGGCTCCGGGCATTCAAAATGTGGCCCGGGAATGGAGTTCTGGGAACTCGAAGACCACGAAGTGGCCTACAGTTGGCTCCGGGCATTCAAAATGTGGCCCGGGAATGGAGTTCTGGGAAGTCGAAGAGCACGAAGTGGCCTACAGTTGGCTCCGGGCATTCAGAATGTGGCCCGGGAATGGAATTCTGGGGTGTCAAATATGAGGAATTGTATGACTGTTGCGTCCGGCCATTCCGAATGTGGCCCGGGAATGGCGTTCTGGGAGGTCAAGGAGCACCAAGTGTTTGACTGTTGCATCCGGTTATTCAGAATGTGGCCTGGGAATGGGGTTCTGAGAGGTCGACGAGCACGAAGTGTGTGACTGTTTGTGAAAAACGAGCCCGGCACAGGCCCGGCCGGCAACTCCCAACGCCTGCCCGGACCCCCCTGTGGAGTGATCTGTGAGCTCTTTTGAGTCAACTAGAAACCTATCAGTCTTCGCTGTTAGGTAACTAGAAACCTATCAGTCTTCGCTGTTAGGTAAAAAGCGACAAGGCGGCCCCCGAGGGCCACGACGCACCCCCAGTGAGCACAGTGAGTTTCCAAGGAAAGCCGCCAGGCACCACCGCAACAGCCATGCAGCGCTGCGGCCAGGCCCCGTTGCAGCCTCGCGGCGCTGCCTCCCGCACTCTCCCCAAAGGGGTCCTACCGAGGCCGAGCCCCCAAAGGTGAGCTCGGATAGGGGGACACATGCGATCCTCCACCTCCTCCTCCTCCCCCTCCTCCTCCTCCTCCTCCTCCTCTTCCTCCTCCTCTTCCTCCCAGGTTTCCCGGCGCCCGCCGTGCCCAGCCTTGGGCGTCTTCGCCGGGGTGCCGCCAGCCGCCCCTTGCCCGCCCCTCCAGTTTCTGAGGGGGAGAGTGGGGGTTCGCTTCGTTCGGGAGCTCCAGAGCGAAGTGAGCCCCGCCCTCCCCCTCAGAAGTCGTGGGGGGCAGGGGTCGGGTTCGCACGTGGCCCCCTCTCGGAGGAAACGGGGGGAACACAATTTTACGCCGGCGGCGAGGCAGAGGCATACTGCACCAGCGGGAAGCGATTCGGGGCAACCGAAGAGCGAACTGGCCAGCACGCATGAGGAAGGAATCACACCAGAGAAAAAAACCGAATCAGTGGATCTTGTGATCGATAAAGAGATCCACCGGGAACCTGGGAACCTGGAACCCACCGAAATCGGCCCGGAACCAATAACCAGGAAACCGGAAACCCGGAACCGGGAACCCGAGAACCTAGCCGGCCACGAAAATCGGCGGGACACTTCCGCCAAAGCTTTCGATTTTCGCTAGGACCCCTTCAGTGCAAGCACTGACCCAGACCCCCGACATCATGATGTTTTCACTACGTCGACCCCTGGAGGTCTCGACCCATTCCCCGGGACCGGTTTTTCATCCTGAGTCGTTTTCTGACGGTCCCGAGGGCCGGTAAGGGACCCCGGAGGCCAACTATATATATATATATATATATATATATAACACAAAAAACACCCGTCGTGAATTTTTCAATGCCCGAGGGGGTCGGGGGATTCGGGAGCAAGGCAGGCAGGGCGACCGCAGAAGAGGGGCGGGGAGCAGAGGGCGCTCGGCTACGGAAGAGTTCCGCCCCGAGCGCGCTGGCGCGGCCAGCAACGGCAGTGAAACTGGGGAAGCACGAAGATACCGTGAGGTCGGGCCTGCCCCCCTACAGGGGGGACTTTGGCCGAAATAAAAATAAACTCAAAACATATTCAAAGGATGACCAAAAAAGTTCAAAAACACCCCCCTGATTATTTTCTAAACTATTTTTGGACATTCCCCCTGTAGAGGGCCAGGCCCGACTTAAAGATACCGGTACCGCTGCCCCACAGGCGTCATCCGGGCCGTGTTCTGTCGAGGACTTCGGGGCGAAGCCATCCGTGGCGACAGGGGCGCTCAGGAGGCCCCGCACTGGCATCAACGATGTTCGTCTCCTCTGGGAGCCATCCTGTTTGGACGCCCGACATGGGCACTGAAAGAATGGGTACAATGCCCAACAGCAGTTCCTGTTCATTTTGAACAGGATTCGCTGTCCGCGCCGCCGCGGCCTGTTTCCATTTGAGACAGAAGGCCGCCTGCCCAACAGCGGCCGCTGTTGGTTTGGGACAACATTTGTTGTTGGGCATTGTACCCATTTTTTCGGTTCCCATTTCGGGTGTCCAAATCCTGGATGCCGTCCACGCGTGACCGGCAAGCTGTGCTGGAGCCTTCCGGACACCATTAGACAGCACTCACTGCGATTGATCTGTCATCCTCCGAGCCGGCCAGCGGCTAGCAGACAGCAGCTAGCAGCCGAGCAGCCAACACGAATGGACCTGCAGGGTGCGGTCGCCCATCCAGAGGTGGTTGGGCCTGCCGCAGGCCATCGGATCTGCACGCCTAGCTGGCGGAGGCACACCACGCACGGCCAACATCGTCTCGCTGGATGCCGACGGCAGCACGCTGGACAGTGTCGCGGAGGGCATCGAGGGCGTCGCTGTCATCATCACTGCGCCGGTGATTGGCGTATTGCCACCGTCCTTGGGGGTCTGCCCGGGCTTCGGCGTCTTGTCGCCCCTCTTCTTGCCTTCGGAAGCAGTGGCTGGGAATGCCGAAGACGTCGCAGCCATCATCGGTGGCATCAGTGGCAGCATCGGCCCAAATGGGCCTAGCATCATGGAGCTGTGCATTGCACTTGGCGGCGTTTGGCCATAACCTTTGGCCACTGGCGTTGGCGTCCTGTCGCTCTTCGGCGTCCTGTCGCTCTTTTTCTTCCCCTCGGACGAGATGGTCGGGAACGCCGAGGACGACCCGTCTGGCGCGAAGAGGAGCGGCTGCCACCGCGAGCGGTCCAGGTCGTGCTCCTCAGGCGAAGGCGGCGCCTGCACGCGGATGATGTTGGCCTGAACGATGGCCAAGTTGGCGGGCTCAACCAGCAGCTTCTCAAAGCCGCCCTCGACCGGGACAAACTCTGGGATGTCGGCCACCTTCTTTTCGTGGTAGGCTTTGCAGAAGTCGGCGGTCCTCTCCGGGTCCCTAAAGTTGATGAAGACCACCCCCTTGTTGGCACTGAAGCTCGCATCGGGGGGCATGAACACGAAGTCGAAGAGTTTGGCCATGCCTTCGTTGAGAAATGTCAGCAGTTGTGCTCGCGCCAGCGTCACAGGGACGCCCCGCATTGCCAGCATCGTCTCGCTGGATGCCGACGGCAGCACGCTGGACAAAGTCGCGGAGGACATCGAAGGCGTCGCTGTCATCATCGGTCCAAACGGCCCAGGCACCATGAATGATGGGCCCGTTTTCCACCACCACCACCACCATACGTTGGATTGGGGAAGGAGGAGGAGGACAAGGAGGAGGAGGAGGAGGAGGACGAACAGGAGGAGGAGGAGGAGGAGGAGGAGGAGGAGGAGGAGGAACACCCCCTCCCCCTTCAACTTATGGTGGTGGTGGTGGAAAGCAGGCCCATCAATGGAACTTCCTGTTGCACTCGTGGGCGGAGTTGGGTCTCCGGTGCTGGGCGTCGGGCCAGGCGTTGGCGTCTTGTCGCCCCTCTTCTTGCCTTCCGAGGCGATGGTTGATGGGCCTGTTTTCCACCACCACCACCATAAGTTGGAGGGGGAGGTGGTCCTCCTCCTCCTCCTCCTCCTCCGCCGCCGCCTCCTCCTCCTCCTCCTCCTCCTCTTCGTCCTCCTCCTCCTCGTCCTCCACCTCCTCCCCCATCCAACTTATGGTGGTGGTGGTGGAAAACAGGCCCATCAATGGTTGGGAACGCTGAGGACTCTCCATCCACTGAAAAGAGAAGAGGCTGCCACTTCGAGCGTTCTACACCCTCTTCCCCTGGCGGAGGCGATGCTTGTGAACGGATGATGTTGGCCTGCACAATACCCAGCTTGGCCGGCTCCACCAGCAGCTTCGGCCAGCCACCCTCAACTGGAACAAACTGCTTAACCTCGACGACACTCTTCTCGTGGAAGGCCTTGATGAACTCGGCGGTCTTCTCTTTGTCTCTGAAGTTGATGAAGAATACGCCCTTGTTGCCGCTGAAACTCGCGTCAGGGGGTATGAAGGCGAAGTCGAAGAGCTTGGCCACATTTTCGTTCAGGAACTCAACAAGTTCTGGTCGGGTGAGCGTCAGAGGCACGCCTCGCACAGCCAACATCGTCTCGCTGGATGCAGCCGGCAGAACGCTGAAAAATGTCGTGGATGACATTGACGGGGTTGCAGTCGTCAGTGGCAGAGTTGGCTTGCCGAATTGCCCTGGCACCGCGAAACCCTCCATCGTACCAGCAAGCGGCGTCATGCCACTGCCCTTCGGCGTCTTGCCCCCTCTTGACTTCTTGCCTTGCATCCGCCGACCCCTTTGGGTTCATCGGCGTGTGGGATGCTTCCCCCTCCCCAACCCTCCCCCGGGAGCCCGGCCTTGTCGATTTGGAGAGGGGGCGAGTCCTCCGGGGCCCGGCCGAACGCATCATGGTGGGACATGGGGCCCCAAAACGGGTCAAGAGGGCCCGGGAAGCCCCCGCGACGGTCCAAGAGGATCACGGGTCGTCGAAAGGATCGATCCAAAACGCCCATCTAAGCTTGCCTCCAAACGGCCCATGAGGCCCCCAAGACGCCCCAAGAAGCCCCCAAGAAGCGCTCCAAGAGGGCCTCCAAAAGTAAAAATCGCACCAATCCCTTTGGAAGACGAATATGATTAGTACATTCGCCTCTTGGGCGTTCCCACCGTCCAAGACGGCCCAAAGAGGTCTGCAAGATCGCCACAAGACGGACCAGGAGGCTCCCAAGAGGGCTCCAAGACGACCTAAGAGGCCCCCAAGACGGCCCAGCACCAAGAGGGGGCCCAGACGGGGAACCCGAACACACACTTCGAGCCTTCGACCGCGAAACGCACCCCAGTTGCTCTAAAAAGCCCCCCGCAGGCCCCCGGGGGGCCCCGAGAGGGCCACAAAAAGCCCCCAAGATGCCCCCGGAAGGCCCCCAAGAGGTTCAAGAACTGCCTCCAAGACGCCCCCGAGACGCCTCCCACGAGACCCCTATCAGCCATCCGAGTGGCCTCAGACCCGCAACCCAGGCACGGTGGCTGGATGTACCTGCCGAATGCCATTCGATAATCAGTCTTCTAGTATTTTGACAGGTGCCCGCCGGTTGTAAACGTGGGTTCTCGCCCGCTTCCCCCTGCATGCACGAAGAACACTGAGAATATCCGCAGAAATCACTACTGGCTGTGCGGGCGGTGCCGCCATTGCCGTGGGCCCTGCGGAATCCTTCGCGAGCACGCGGTAGTCTGTCCAAGAGAGCTCCGACACGACCCAAATTCTTGCTCCACGACGCTCACGGCGGCTCAAAAACGGCCTCGGAAGCCCCGAAAACACTCGACGAGCGCCCTAAACAGCTTCCCAGGAAGGCCTCCAGAGTCCAACTCCGTCAATGTCCCAGGGGTCTTGAACGTGTTTCGAGTTCACACCTGTTCTGCTATCGGACGCTTCTTTCGGCCCAGAGGCTCCCAAGCAGCGCCGAGATACCACCGACAAGGTCCCTGTAGGCTCCAAGACTGCCTCCAAAAAGTACCGTAGAGGGCCGAAATCCAGTTCCAAGAGAACTTCAACCGATTTCCCACAGACTTCGAATTACATCTTCCTGACCCTCGAGAGGTCGTTCTCGAAGAGCCGATGCGCCTCAAATCTCGCTCCAAGACGCCCCTGGCGGCTCCAAAACGGCCCCCACAAAAGCCCCGAGACACTCGACGCGCGCCCCAAGCAGAGGGTTGCAAAGGTGTGTGAACCATCTGGCTGTCCCCGCCCCCTTTTCCCCTCTCGCCTGGGATCACAATTCCGTTTCAGGGGGTGGGCGGGTGGGAGGGGGCCCGAGGAGGCTGGAGCTCCTGACCGCATCCCCAGGGCCTCTGGAGCCTCTCCAGAAGCCAAAAAGACGGCCCAACAAAGAGCGCTGGCATGGCCCAAGATGTAGCCCCACGACGATCCAAGACAGCATCGAGACGGCCCACGAGGCGCTCAAGACGACCCAAAAATTAACCAGCGGTGCGCCGGAGACATGCTTTCTTGCTTTCCTACGCGCACTCCAAATCTCTTTTTCCTACTCTAAACGAAATCGCCTCAAAATAGCCCAAAGGCACTTCACTCCCGTCCCATCACATCCTTCCCCCCTCATGTCCCCTTCAATCACCTCCCCTCCAAACGTCTTCTGAGCATCATCCCGACCAAGCTTTCGAGACGAGTTGAGTTCCTGCGACGAAGGCCCTCTCGCGGCCTACACGGATCAAACCGAAGGTGCACTTGGATCCATGTAGGCCGCGAGACAAGACGGCGGGGGGCATCATATTGCCCCATGCGTGCAAGCCTACCGCCCATCTCAGAAATACATGCAGGGCGCACCTGGCGGCACAATCCGCCGACCCGTTGGGGTGCCATCGGCGTGTGAGATGCCAAGAGAACCCAGAATCGAATCGATAAGTCGGATCGGCGATCGAAATCAGCCGGATCGGCTGAAATCGGCAGCCGAGTCGGGAGAAGTCGAATCGGCGGACATCGGCAAGCGATTACGCCTCCACTGAGGAGTCGGAGCACAGATCGGAATCCGAAGTCGAATCGAATCGGCATCGGAGGCCATCGAAATCGAATCGAATCGAACTGGAGGAATCGAAACGAGTCCTGCCCAGCCACTCCCCCCGGGGCCTGGTGCTGTCTAGGTGGACGTGGGGGCCCGCCCAGCCCCCCAGGCCCAGGCCGAACGCACCCTGGGAGGATCGAGGGCCCCGGCACGGGCCAGGAGGGCCCAAAGCGGCCCCCCACGACGGCCCCAGCAAGCCCCCCCCAGACGGTCCAAGAGGGCCCCGGGTCGCCGGAAGGTCGCTCCGTGACGCCCAGGGCCTCCAGACGGCCCAAGATGCCCCCGAGACGCACAAGAGAGGCCTCCAGGATGCCTCCCAAGAGGCAGCATGTATCGATCTGATACGGTTTTTTGACAGATATTTGCGTTCTCGCCTTTGCGATTCTCCGACGCGCCACGACGACCCCACAGGCTACCCGAGATCCCCAGAATGTCCCCAGAGGCCTCCAAGAGGGCCCTAAACGGCCCACGAGGGTCACCACACGGCCCCAAAGACGGCCTCAGAGGCTCCAAGATGGCGAAAAGGATCCCACGACCGCCCCAAGAAGGGCCCCGATGTGGAATCCGAGCCCACATTCAGCCACGCGCAGAGGGGAGTAGGGGGAGTGGGGGAGGGCTTCTTAGAAGCACCCCTGCTTCTTAGAAGGCGCGGGTCTCATCTATAGATGTAAGGCCGGCGCCTTCTAAGAAGCAACCTCCGTCTAAGAAGCCCTCCCCCCTCCCTCCACCCCCTTGTGCGCGCCGCCAACACATATCGAGCCCTGCCGCCCAAGGCCTCCCCATGAAGCCTCAGAAGGGCTCCAAGAAGCCCCCCAAGAGGACCTCAGGATCAACACGAAGCAACCGCCAGCCCCACAAGGGCTCGGCGGCGTGGCGGCAGCCTAAGAATCCACGTCCGGACGTGACGTGCTGAGCGGCAGCGTTTGCGCTTTTCGGCCATTGCCTGAATTTGAGCAGGTACCGACCGTCCTGGCATTCTCATAAGCCTACCACTACATGTTCTTAGAACCCCAAAATGTTCTCATAAAAAAACAATGCTCTTAGAACATGAAGCCGATGTATTAGTACAAGACAGCTCCAGCCAGAAATGTTTTAATATCATTTCGTTGGAACGGCACAAGGTTATTAGAACATTCTTTGGTGGGCCTATAGGCGAACCAGGACGCCTCGCCACTGCTTGATACATTCAACGTGTCCAGTGTGTCCAATGATTGCCCAATTGCTGCATGGTGTGTTGCTGCGTTCTTGTGTCTCCTCCCCATACCCCCCTTGGAGTCGCGCCACATCGTCGGACCAAACTTGACGACCCCCATTCCGGGGATCGAATACGTACCGAAACGTTTCGAAGCCTCCATGGGACCCCAAGGTGGGCCTCGAGACGGCTCAGAATGCCCGCACGACGGGCCAAGACGGCCTCAAGACGGCCCAGGGTGGCCCCGAGAGGGCCCACGCGGCCCCCCAGACGGCCCCGAAGGCCCCAAGGGGGGCTGCCAAGAGCGCCTGCAGAGGCCCAGAAACATGATCTGTCCTTTGGTATTCTCTTGTTCTTGCTCCACCCCCGCGGGGCCATGACAGCCCAAGGAGCCTCCCAAATTGCCCCAAGAGGCGAGACGGCCCAAGAGGG